GAAATTCCTCTCCGCAAGATGGTCATTTCCCAGACTTCAGCGCAAGTGATCGAAATTCCTCTCCACAAGATCGTCATTTCCCAGACTTCAGCGGGAATGATCAAAATTCCTCTCTGTAAGATTGTCATTTCCCAGAATTCAGCGGAAGTGATCGAAATTCCTCTCAACAAGATCGTCATTTCTCAAACTTCAGAGGGAGTGATCGAAATTCCTCTCAGCAAGATCGTCATTTCTCAAACTTCAGCGGGAGTGATCAAAATTCCTCTGAGCAAGATCGTCATTTCTCAGACTTCAACGGGAGTGATCGAAATTCCTCTCCGCAAGATCGTCATTTCCTAGACTTCAGCGGGAGTGATCGAAATTCCTCTCTATAAGATCGTCATTTCCTAGACTTCAGCGGGCGTGATCGAAATTCCTCTTTGCAAGATTGTCATTTCTCAGACTTCAGCCAGAGTAATCGCATTTCCTCTCCGCAAGATTGTCATTTCCCAAACTTCAGCAGGAGTGATCGAAATTCCTCTCAAAAAGATCGTCATTTCTCAGACTTCAGCAGGAATAATCGAAATTCCTTTCCGCAAGATTGTCATTTCCCAAACTTCACCGGGAGTGATCGAAATTCCTCTCAGCAAGATCGTCATTTCACAAACTTCAGCGCAAGTGATCAAAATTCCTCTCAGCAAGATTGTCATTTCCCAGACTTCAGCGGGAGTGATAGAAATTCCTCTGAACAAGATCGTCATTTCTCAAACTTCAGAGGGAGTGATCGAAATTCCTCTCAGCAAGATCGTCATTTCTCAAACTTCAGCGGGAGTGTTCAAAATTCCTCTTAGCAAGATCGTCATTTCTCAGACTTCAGCGGGAGTGATCCAAATTCCTCTCCGCAAGATCGTCATTTCCCAGACTTCAGCGCAAGTGATCGAAATTCCTCTCCACAAGATCGTCATTTCCAAGACTTCAGCGGGAATGATCAAAATTCCTCTCTGTAAGATTGTCATTTCCCAGAATTAAGCGGGAGTGATCGAAATTCCTCTCAACAAGATCGTCATTTCTCAAACTTCAGAGGGAGTGATCGAAATTCCTCTCAGCAAGATCGTCATTTCTCAAACTTCAGCGGGAGTGATCAAAATTCCTCTGAGCAAGATCGTCATTTCTCAGACTTCAGCGGGAGTGATCAAAATTCCTCTCCGCAAGATCGTCATTTCCCAGACTTCAGCGGGAGTGATCGAAATTCCTCTCTATAAGATCGTCATTTCCTAGACTTCAGCGGGAGTGATCGAAATTCCTCTTTGCAAGATTGTCATTTCTCAGACTTCAGCCAGAGTAATCGAATTTCCTCTCCGCAAGATTGTCATTTCCCAAACTTCAGCAGGAGTGATCGAAATTCCTCTCAAAAAGATCATCATTTCTCAGACTTAAGAGGGAGTGATAGAAATTCCTCTCAGAAAGATCGTCATATCTAAGACTTCAGCGGGAGTGATCGAAATTCCTCTCAACAAGATCATCATTTCTCAGACTTCAGCGCAAGTGATCGAAATTCCTCTCCGCAAGATCGTCATTTCCCAGACATCAGTGGGAGTGATCAAATATCCTCTCAGCAAGATCGTCGTTTCTCAGACTTCGGCGGGAGTATCGAAATTCCTCTCCGCAAGATCGTCATTTTCCAGACTTCAACGGGATTGATCGAAATTCCTCTCTAAAAGATCGTCATTTCCCAGACTTGAACGAGAGTGATCGAAATTCCTCTTCACAAGATTGTCATTTCTCAGACTTCAGCTAGAGTAATCGAAATTCCTCTCCGCAAGATCGTCATTTCCCAAACTTCAGCGGGAGTGATCAAAATTCCTCTCAGAAAGATCGTCATTTCTCAGACTTCAGAGGGAGTGATAGAAATTCCTCTCAGCAAGATTGTCATTTCTCAGACTTCAGCGGGAGTGATCGAAATTCCTCTCAGCAAGATCGTCATTTCTCAGACTTCAGCGCAAGTGATCGAAATTCCTCTCCACAAGATCGTCATTTCCCAGACTACAGCGGGAGTGATCTTAATTCCTCTCTGCAAGATCGTCATTTCCTAGACTTCAGCGAGAGTGATCAAAATTCCTCTCCGCAAAATCGTCATTTCTCAGACTTCAGCAGGAATAATCGAAATTCCTCTCCGCAAGATTGTCATTTCCCAAACTTCAGCGGGAGTGATCGAAATTCCTCCCAACAAGATCGTCATTTCTCAAACTTCTGAGGGAGTGATCGAAATTCCTCTCAGCAAGATCGTCATTTATTAAACTTCAGCGGGAGTGATCAAAATTCCTCTCAGCAAGATCGTCATTTCTCAAACTTCAGAGGAAGTGATCGAAATTCCTCTCAGCAAGATCGTCATTTCTCAAACTTCAGCGGGAGTGTTCAAAATTCCTCTCAGCAAGATCGTCATTTCTCAGACTTCAGCGGGAGTGATCGAAATTCCTCTCAGCAAGATCGTCATTTCTCAGACTTCAGTAGGAGTGATCGAAATTCCTCACAGCAAGATCGTCATTTCTCAGACTTCAGCGCAAGTGATCGAAATTCCTCTCCACAAGATCGTCATTTCCCAGACTTCAACGGGAATGATCGAAATTCCTCTCTGTAAGATTGTCATTTCCCAGAATTCAGCGGGAGTGATAGAAATTCCTCTCAACAAGATCGTCATTTCTCAGACTTCAGAGGGAGTGATCGAAATTCCTCTCAGCAAGATCGTCATTTCTCAAACTTCAGCGGGAGTGATCGAAATTCCTCTCCGCAAGATCGTCATTTCCCAGACTTCAGCGGGAGTGATCGAAATTCCTCTCTATAAGATCGTCATTTCCTAGACTTCAGCGGGAGTGATCGAAAATCCTCTTTGCAAGATTGTCATTTCTCAGACTTCAGCCAGAGTAATCGAATTTCCTCTCCGCAAGATTGTCATTTCCCAAACTTCAGCAAGAGTGATCGAAATTCCTCTCAAAAAGATCGTCATTTCTCAGACTTAAGAGGGAGTGATAGAAATTCCTCTCAGCAAGATCGTCATATCTCAGACTTCAGCGGGAGTGATCGAAATTCCTCTCAAGAAGATCGTCATTTCTCAGACTTCAGCGCAAGTGATCGAAATTCCTCTCCACAAGATCGTCATTTCACAGACTTTAGCGGGAGTGATCGAAATTCCTCTCCGCAAGATCGTCATTTCCCAGACTTCAGCGGGAGTGATCAAAACTCCTCTCAGCAAGATCGTCGTTTCTCAGACTTCGGCGGGAGTGATCGAAATTCCTCTCCGCAAGATCGTCATTTCCCAGACTTCAGCGGGAGTGGTCGAAATTCCTCTCTACAAGATCGTCATTTCCCAGACTTGAACGAGAGTGATCGAAATTCCTCTTCACAAGATTGTCATTTCTAAGACTTCAGCCGGAGTAATCGAAATTCCTCTCCGCAAGATCCTCATTTCCCAAACTTCAGCGGGAGTGATCGAAATTCCTCTCAGAAAGATCGTCATTTCTAAGACTTCAGAGGGAGTGATAGAAATTCCTCTCAGCAAGATTGTCATTTCTCAGACTTCAGCGGGAGTGATCGAAATTCCTCTCAGCAAGATCGTCATTTCTCAGACTTCAGCGCAAGTGATCGAAATTCCTCTCCACAAGATCGTCATTTCACAGACTTTAGCGGGAGTGATCGAAATTCCTCTCCGCAAGATCGTCATTTCCCAGACTTCAGCGGGAGTGATCAAAACTCCTCTCAGCAAGATCGTCGTTTCTCAGACTTCGGCGGGAGTGATCGAAATTCCTCTCCGCAAGATCGTCATTTCCCAGACTTCAGCGGGAGTGGTCGAAATTCCTCTCTACAAGATCGTCATTTCCCAGACTTGAACGAGAGTGATCGAAATTCCTCTTCACAAGATTGTCATTTCTAAGACTTCAGCCGGAGTAATCGAAATTCCTCTCCGCAAGATCCTCATTTCCCAAACTTCAGCGGGAGTGATCGAAATTCCTCTCAGAAAGATCGTCATTTCTAAGACTTCAGAGGGAGTGATAGAAATTCCTCTCAGCAAGATTGTCATTTCTCAGACTTCAGCGGGAGTGATCGAAATTCCTCTCAGCAAGATCGTCATTTCTCAGACTTCAGCGCAAGTGATCGAAATTCCTCTCCACAAGATCGTCATTTCCCAGACTTGAGCGGGAGTGATCTTAATTCCTCTCTGCAAGATCGTCATTTCTCAGACTTCAGCGAGAGTGATCAAAATTCCTCTCCGCAAAATCGTCATTTCTCATACTTCAGCAGGAATAATCGAAATTCCTCTCCGCAAGATTGTCATTTCCCAGACTTCAGCGGGAGTGATCGAAATTTCTCTCAACAAGATCGGCATTTCTCAAACTTCTGAGGAAGTGATCGAAAATCCTCTCAGCAAGATCGTCATTTATTAAACTTCAGCGGGAGTGATCAAAATTCCTCTCAGCAAGATCGTCATTTCTCAGACTTCAGGGGGAGTGATCGAAATTCCTCTCCGCAAGATCGTCATTTCCCAGACTTCAGCGGGAGTGATCGAAATTCCTCTCAGCAAGATCGTCATTTCTCAGACTTCAGCGCAAGTGATCGAAATTCCTCTTTGCAAGATTGTCATTTCTCAGACTTCAGCCAGAGTAATCGAATTTCCTCACCGCAAGATCGTCATTTCTCAGACTTCAGCGGGAGTGATCGAAATTCCTCGTGATAAACTCCCCTTCGCCCTATAACGTGATCATGAGAATACCGCTCATCCACAAGATAGGTAGAATAGTATCCACCTACCACCTTGCCATGACTTACACGACTAATGAGAGACGGTCAGCAAAGCTCAGGGGAAGCCAAAAAACAGTTAACAATGTTACATAACCTCCTTAAAGCAGCCTACAAAGACCAGACAACAGTCAACCTCAAAACGAAGGTCCACTGAGCAGGCTGAGAGAAAGTCAAGAAAAAGGAAGCGCGAAGAATATCACAAGGAGAAGGATAAATAGAAGTTAGCAATGGAGAACTTTGAGCCTGCAAAGGAAGAGATGGCTAGATCACTTACCAGTGGAGAGCATGTCAAATTTGAGCTCACAGAAGGTGACCCCACGAGAACGGTAAAAATCGGGAAAGACATCGATCCTGGAGTAGGGGTACACCTCATAGAGCTGCTGAGAAGAACAAGGATATTTTCGCATTCTCTGCAGATGAGATGCCCGAAATTGACCCTCCAGTCATGGTCCACATGCTGAATGTGAAGGAGGATATTAAGTCGGTCAAACAGAAAAAACGAAGCTTCTCCACTAAGAAAAATTAAGCAATCCAGGAGGAAGTGGAGAAACTCTTGGAGGCAGGATTCATCGAGCATTGCGATTACCCAGAGTGGTTAGCAAACGTAGTCATGGTGAAGAAAGCAAATGGCTAGTAGAGAATGTGCATTGATTTCACAGATCTGAACAAGCCATGCCTAAAAGACTACTACCCACTTCCGCGGATTGATCAACTGGTAAACTCAACCAGCGGGCACGCCTTGCTAAGCTTCATGGATGCCTTCTAAGGGTACCATCAGATCATCCTGCATAAATCAGACCGGCAGAAAACCGCATTCATCACAGAAGGGGGAGTGTACAATTACATAGATATGCCCTTCGGGCTGAAGAATGTGGGGGAAACCTTTCAGAAGACAATGGATAGAGTATTCCTGCATCAGAAGGGCAGAAATGTTGAAGTGTACGTTGACGACTCAATTGTTAAGAGTGTCACGTAGGCAGGGCATATCATGGATTTGGAGGAAACATTTGCCACCCTTAACATGTACAAAATCAAACTCAACCCGAAGAAATGTGTCTTTTGAGTGAGCTCGGGAAAATTCTTAGGTTTCCTGATCAGCAAGAGAGGAATAGATGCAAATCTGGAAAAGGTCGAAGTAGTCCTAAGCCTGCCTGAGCCTAAGCGCATTAAAGACATCATGCGGCTGATAGGCAGAATGGCCGCGCTGACTAGGTTCATTAGCAAGTCAGCAGACAAGGCCTTACTGTTCTACCAGCTACTGAAAGGGAATAGAGAATTTAAGTGGAGAGCTGCAGAAAAAGAAGCTTTTGAGGGTATTAAGTAGCATTTGACTAAACTCCCAACAATGATCAGCTCGGAGTTAAGGGAAAAGTTACAGTTGTATATTTCTGCATCAATTCAGACAATCGTAGCCGTGCTACTGGTAGAAAGACAAAAACAACAAAGGCCAATATACTTCGTGAGCCACGTACTGACCAAGGCAAAGCAAAGGTACCCATTGGAAGAGAAACTGGCCTTCGCAGTGGTAACAATAGCAAGGAAGCTGAAACCATATTTTGATGCGCAAGTAATACAAATATTCACAAATTACCCGCTGGAAAAAGCATTACAAAAAATGGATGCATCAGGCAGACTCTTAAAATAGGCCATCGAGCATTCTGAGTACGAGTTTGAGGTCAAACCTTGGGCAGCCATTAAGGCACAAGCCTTAGAAGAGTTCATCGTGGAAGCCTCTTATGAGGAGAAAGAAGATGACATAGGAATCTGGAAGGTAGAAGTAGATGGATTCTCAGCCCAAGTGGGGAGTGGAGTAGGAGTCATAATGACATCTCCAGAAGGAAATGTATTTGAGTACGCCATAAAGTTCAAGTTTAAAGCATCAAACAACGAGGCAGAGTACGAGGCAGCACTGGCAGGCCTGCGTATGAGTATCGCACCTAGATCCCGAAAAGTCCATCTGCAAACTGACTCTCAACTTGTCGCCAGCCAAATGCAGGGGGCGTATGAGATTAGGGAAGCAACTATGTTGAAATATGTAACTAAAGTAAAGGAATTGGCAGCTCAGCTGGTTCATTTTCAGATAGACTTGGTCCTCAGAGCAGGAAACTCCCAGGCTGACGCTCTGTCAAAGTTAGTAAGTTCTACCCTGCAGAGCCTCACGAGGACGGTAATGGTAGAAATCCTGGATGAAAGCAGTATCGCTGAAAAAGAGCAAGTGAACTGCATCGGGCAACAGTGGTACACAGACATTATGGCATACAAAGTTCACGGCTCGTTGCCAGATGATGAGGTGCAAGCCAGGAAGGTTAAGAAGGACGCCAACTGGTATGTGGTAATAAACGGGGAGCTTAACAAGAAGGGCTTCTCGAAACCACTGCTGAGGTGTATCCCAGAGTGGAAGCTAGAGAGGTTCATGGAAGAAGCGCACTCATGGATATGTGCCAACCACATTGGTGGAAAGGCAGTGGGAGTAGAAGTCGTCAGAAGAGGTGCATACTGGCCAACTCTGACGCATGACGCGCTGGCATATGTCAAAAAGTGCAACCACTACTAGAAAAAGGGTCATTTTTGACAGAAAATTTATGTCGGAACCACCCCAAAATCCGTTGTTAAACCTGTTTCCGACAGAATTGCGTCGTAACCGGTTGTCGGAAAAGCTGTTGTAGGAAGTTTGTCTTATGCCGACGGAAATTCCGTCGGAAACACTTTTCCGACGGAATTTTTCTTCGAAAGAGGTTTTTCAGTACCAGGAAAATCCGTCGGAAATTTCTGACGGAATTCACAATTCGGTGGGAATTTTACGACGGAAATTCCGTCGGAAACTTGTTTTAAGAAAAAAAAAAAAAAACGTCGCGCCACCAGTACGGCACGGCTTATCAACCACCACCAACCACCAAATAACTCCCCACCACTAGCCCCTAACTGGTTCCGTTACACGACCCATACCATCAAAACCCCTACCCACCTAATCCTAACCCACACAAACTAGCTAAGAAAACCACCCCACCACCCACCTAAAACCACCACTGCCGCCACCACCACCAAAACAACTTGTCACAACCCAAAAATTAAACAAAAAAAAAATTTAAATCCCAACACAACACCTAGAAGCCCGAAAAAATCCCAACCCACCTCACCCTAAAATCGAACCACCCTCCTAACCGACCCAGACCTGACCAAAAAACCAAACCACCATGGCATCAAGCCACCACAACCGTAAAAAAGAAAAAAATATTAAAAATAAAAACCTACCGCCACCCTAATCAACCGAAAATAAATAAAAAAAAGAAGTACAAACCTTTAATTTCATCAACAAAACCACAAAAATGGCTCGAATTTTGGTTTTAAAGGTCAAATTCGACCATGAAAACTCTAGATCTAGATTTTTCATGGTCGAATTTGACATGAAAAACCTTACTTTTGTTCAAAAAATTAAGTAGGGCTTCACGAATTAGTGTAAATTTTGGGTTGTTGTTGCCAAAAATTAATTAGAAAGAAGAAAAAGGGGCGAAAACCCAAAAATTTAATTAGAACAAATGAAAAAGAAAGGGGTAAGGGGGAAGAAAAAGGGGCGAAGAACAGGAGGAAGGAGGAAGAACAGGAAGGAGGAAGAATAAGAAGGAAGAAGAAGTGGCGGAGAAAGAAGGAGGAAGAAAAAAAGGGCGGAGAAGGAGAGAGAAATGAAGGGGTAAGGGTAACGGGGCGGGTTTAAATTAGGGTTTTAGATTTTTTGTTTTTTTTTAAAAAAAAAAATCAAAATTCCTTCAAAAACATAAATTATTCCATCAGAAACTTTAATTTCCGACCGAAAAATCCGTCAGAAGTTTCCTACGAAATAAAATCCACCGGAAAATACTTAATTTCCGACGGATTTTAATTTCCGTCGTAAATTTCCGACGGAAATTCTTGATCCGTCGGAAATTGCCTACGAAAATAAAATATGTCGGAAATTAAGTGGTTTCCGACGGATTTTCATGACCGTCGGAATTGACTCTTTTTCTGGTAGTGAACAAGTGTCAAAAATATTCCCCTGTAATAAACCAACCAGCGAATGATCTGACCCCGATCCTCAGCCCGATCCCGTTTGCTGAGTGGAGAATGGACATATTAGGACCTTTCACCACTGGGTCAGCGGGCAGGAAGCATCCCATCGTGGCAGTAGATTATTTTACCAATTGGATAGAGGTTGAACCCACTAAGTACATAAAGGCAGTCCAAGTAAGGACATTCATATGGAAGAACATCATCACAAGGTTCGGGGTTCTACAGTGCATAGTCTTTGACCATGGATGTCAGTTCGATTGTGACACCATCAAGGATTACCTGGAAGAAATGGGCACCAAGTATGCAAGTGCCTCAGTCATCCACCCGCAGTGTAATGGCCAGGCAGAAGCAGCAAACAAGCTGGAGGAATACAAGGGCCTATGGGCAGACCTAATCCTAGAGATTTTATTGGCAAACATAACCACTAAGAAGGAGTCCACTGGTAAAATCCCTTTCACCCTAACCTATGGGGTTGATGCAGTTGTCCAAGTAGAAGTGAAACTCCCCATCCTGCGGATACAACACTATGAACAACAAGAAAATGAAAAACGCATGCTGGAAGAGCTAGACTTCCTGCCAGAAGTAAGGCTAAAAGAAGCTCTCAAGTTGGCAGCCTCGAAGAGTAGGATATCCAAAGCTTTCGACAAGAGGGTTAAGTACAGGGAGCTCCTGCCCGGAGATTTAGTCCTTAGAAAGACAACAGCAGTAGGAAGAGGAAATCATCATGGAAAGCTGTTAGCAAACTGGGAAGGCCCTTTCATCAGTCACGATCAGGTAGGACCAGGTGCATTCCTCCTTACAGATCAAGATGTTCAGTTCTTAAGAAATAGTTTCAATGATGATGTGTTAAAAAATACTTTGTTTTAAAAGCATGAAGTTAGGAAGAAACAGAGGTAGTTGTTTCAATTTTACACAAACTTTATTCAGTTCATGTTATGTTAACTAAGGCATTCTAGCCATTTTTATTCAATGAAATACAAGCCACTTCGTGAGGAGTATGTTACGTAAACCTGTTTTAATATATCATGCCTTAGCATAATATACTAACATGCAGAAGAAAAACCAAAAAAAAAATAATAAAATTTTTTGTTAAAGGCAAGAAGCACATCAGCACAAAGTGGCAAAATAGTGTTAGACGACAAATTAAAAACATCCCTCCCTAAGACCTCACCTCATCTGCTCACGGTAAAATAGGGCACCACCTCGGGGACGCCTGAGGGGGAGGCCTAGCACGTTAAGCTTGAGCAGGAGAGAAAAGGGAAAACGAAGAAGATGAGCTATGTGGGCAACACTAAGGTTCTTTTAGTTCTACTTAGCTCACCTCTTTGAGGGGGAGAGGAAAGGAGGAGATAAGCATGCAATAGACCCTTACAACAAGTCGTAGCATAAATAAGCTGAACGACATAAAAAAGTCGCAGCAAAACAAGCTGAGCGACATAGAAAAGTCACAGCAAAGAAAGTTAGCAAAATAAAAGTCAGGTTAAGCTGGACAGGCCCAGTAGAAAAAGATAAAGTATTCAGCAAAAGCGCAAGAAAGCATAATCTTTGGCGGCTATGCACCCCAAAGACAGCAACAAAAACTTCTTGGTTACTACAGATCTGAGTGAGGGAAACTCAGGAGAATCACTGGAGTAGGAAGGTGACAGCCGCCATAATCTTGATTGGTCACCAGCTAAGGATTCCACTCCAATGGCTGCAGCAATGTCAGGGCAGAGAGGAACTTCCAAGATCAACACAGCTTGGTCAGGAACCTTACAGCTAACAACACGAGGATGATCAGTAGGGAGATCAAACAAACCAGCCTCGCCTGCAGCGTTTACCTTAGCCCAAAAGGCGTTGAAACGAACCTGCAGCTCCTCACCCTCACCATACAAGCTTCTAACACACCGAACTGCAGCCTCCCATCAACCATCATGGCGATCAGCCAATAACTTAGTAAAAGTAGGGGAGAGCGCAAAAGCTTTGAGTGCCTCCTTCTTGGCAGCTTCCAGCTCACAAATCTGCAATCTCTGCCTCCAACGTCTGCACCTTGGCCTGAGAGGTCTCCAGTTGCTCTTCGCAGCTCTTCAATTTGGTTTGAGTGAGTTGAAATTCTCCCAACTGGAGCTACAGGGCGTCCGCCCTCTCCCTTAGAGGAGTCAACTCGCTTGCCATAGCATTCCTCTCAGCCTGAGCCTGCTGAACCTCCAAATTCTTTTGAGAAAGAATTATGCCCTGATTCTGATACTCCTTCTCCACTGACAGCAAAGCATTGGATAAATCTCGAAAAGACTTGACAAGCTGGAAAAAGGGCAGAAAAAGAAAGGAGTGAGCCAAGACAGGAATTGACTAAAAATAAAAATAAAACAAGGCATTAACAAGGGAATAAGCAGAGAAGAAAAGAAAAACCAAAGCAAAATGGGAAAACTAAAAGCAGAAAACTAACCTTCTGCAGGTCACGGCAAGCTATAGTAGTAGGGAGGCTTACTGAGTTGCGCTTAGAATCAGCTGGGAGACGACCCCTTGAGTCAGGCGGTACCCCAAAGTACCAGCCTTTTGAGGGTCGTCCACAAACAAAGACTCGCCAGCCCTCACATTCATCTCAAGCCGAAATGGAGCATTCTCAGCCCTAGCAGGACACAGTATGGGGCGAAGTTGGGCCTCAATGGGAACCTCAAAAAAATTCAATAGCCCCAGTAGGGCAAAAATTACTTCCAGCAGAGATTGAGGTAGCAGACAGAGGATTTTCAAAAGCATCACTCAAGAACTGATGAACACAGCGGTTAAGTTCACCAGAGTTTTGAGTATTTCACCCCCCTGTCAACATTCCAACCAAGAAGCCCAGTGTTAGCAGAATTGGATGCAAAAGGAACAAGGCTAGAGGAGATGCGAGCCTTCTTCGCTTCAGGCTCATCTCTAGCAGGGGCAGAGGACACAGGTTCATCATCTAAGTCAATAACTGGATGATCCTGCTTGTGAGAACCCTCTGTCTGGGAGTGTCCACCTCTAGAAGCACTTCGGAGCCATCCTCTCAGTCTAGAAGGATGCGGTGGAAACATGGGAAGCTCTATGGTAGTTCATTAGGGAACTGGAAGTCAGTAGCTGCAACAGAAGGATCAACAGTGTCCTTCGCAGCATCAGCATTATCAACATCGGAAGAAAATAGCAGAACATGCTCACTTGAAAAAGTGGGCTTTACACCCACACTAGTAGTCTCAGCCCCCTCATGGGGAAACTGGAGAACACTATCGGTAAAATCGTCAGCACTAGTTTTTGGATCATCAGAAGCTTGATCGCGCTATCATTTGGCAGCAGAAGACTGAGGTGCCATCCGGCCAGAAGCTGCAACAGGTTGCTTCTCAGGAGAAGCATCATGCGCCACTAACGCCTCCGGTTCTGAGCCAGCTCTTCGAGGGGTGAGTCTCACGCCTGCTCCCAACAGTAGAGGAAGAAGGCTCAACTTCAGCACGGCTGGACCCTGCGCGATCGACAACAGTCATAGTACCGAAAACAGCCCGCAGCTTAGAGGGA